AGAACTAAAAATAAAGCACAAATTGAACAAGACTGTTTCCTCTCTGTTATGAGCTCACAGCATGATTTGTCACAATAAAATTTGCTCCTTGGTTATTTTCAAGTTCATTTCAATTCAAGTCAGTTATCACAGAATCACACAGGGATCCTGTGGAGGTCCCTGAATCCAACCTCCCCTTCACAACATGCCCCATCGCAGCCGGCTACTCAGGGCCTAGTCAAGGTCTGAATGTCTCCAAAGACTTGGAATTTCACAACCTCACTGGGTTCCTGTCCCAGTGCTCGGCAACCCTCACGGTATTTTTTTTTTTTTCATGACATCTGATTAGAATTTCCCCATGCTCCAATTTGCTTGTGGCCTCTCACCCTATTCCTGCACATCTGAGAGCAACATGAGTCTGTCCTCTCCACACATAAGAGCAGTAAGACCTCCCCTTCACCTTCCCTTCTTAAGGCTGAAGAAACCCATGCTCAAACTCTATGCTTTACCCACATAATTATCTTGAAGGCCTTCTACGAGACTTGCCAAAAAGGGTCCTTCTTCCTTGCCCTGGACAGGTTATGCTGCACTTCAGATGTGCTCTTGACAGTGTCAAAGGGAGGAGAACAAGAGCCCTCCTTGGCCTGCTGGCCTCGCTACAGCCAACGCTTCTGCTGTGCTTCAGGTGTGCCTCAGGATTACGGATCTCCACAAACCTGTATTGGCACAAAAAGCTGCCTCAAGAAACAACTAGGAAAATAAGAGCACTCTGGTAGCCTCATTATTCAGTATCGCTCCCTGAAGCCTACTGAAAATTCAGCAACTCCACCAGCATTTCTACAATTCTTTTAAGATAGCACTGCCCTTAGGCCCCTGGATCATTCCTACTTCCCATGGTACATCCTACACTTCCCCTTGTGCCAGCAGTTCCCTCCGTGCGGTTGAGAGAGAAAACAGATCCCTTGGGGAAAGAAAAGAAAATATTCAGATACTGCTCCACAGTCATAATGAACCAACCCAAGAATCATTACTACCCACACAGGGATTTTCAGCTCTTCTCTGCCTCCATATCTTACATAAGTTTAACTCTTCACAGAGCCACAACCTCAGTTTAGCTCCTCAATTTCTTCTCTGCCCAGTTTCAGTATTATATGGAATGGAACTATTCTAAATATAAAATACCACCTCTCTGTGCTTTCCAAAAAAGTCAGCTCTGACAACTGTGGTGTTTCAGCACTCGAGGGCTGAGCTTTCAAAGAGAGAGTTTCAGCCTCCAAAGCCTTTGGTGATGTAGCCACCCAACCTAGGTCACCTGGCAAAACTGTTTTGGTGTCAGGGTTACCAGTGCCCCACACAAATACTGGGCCCACGAGGAAGCCAGGCGGTTTAAAACAACTGGGCATATTTTCTTCTGTTTCCTTGTTAACCTGGCAAGCATAATCCAAGACTAATGTGCTAAAAAACAGAGAGTATTTCAGATCTTAAAACAGTGCAATTAGAACTGTAATTTCATTTTGCCCTTTAAAACAATGAGAGAGAAAACATCTCATTAGTTTTATTGTGTCTTTTAAGAGCAATACCCAAGAGATACCCAAAACTGTGTAGAGCTGTTTTGGCAGAGTTAACTGATATGCAATCAGATGCAGAATTCAGGCTGCATTCCCTCTTCTCCTGCAACCATTCCCAAGAGAAGAAACCTTTTTACAGAAGCACAGCTTAATTCTCCCCTGCAGTATTAATAACAAATTTGTGTTAAATATTCGGTTTCACTGGCAAGGCTCCAATGCACTTGTCTGATCAAACCCTTAGCTTGATCACTGCAATCTATGCTATCGTTAATCAGAATTAAGGCTTTTTGTAATTATCTTTTTGTGTAGCGTCACGCTGTATCCTGTGTAAGTGCTGTAAGGACAAGGTGGCAGCAAGTGGAAACAAGAGTGTGTGAACATGGACCAGCAGAGAGGGCCAAGGCCTCGGGCAGGAGCGGTCCCTGTGCGTGCGGTGCCAGCAGCTGGGGCGGGTGAGGGCCTGGGCAGGAGCCCCTGGGGCTACTGAAGGTCTGGGCTGAGTGAGGAGAGATCTCAAGGACAAGCCCTAGTGCCCATGTGCCACACAACAGCCTGGGAAGAGCCCATGTGCAGGACCCAAGCGCTTTCATGAGAACTTCAAACTTCATGGTCCAGATAAAGCACGGGACCTCCCTACTCCCTTAACAGAAACACAAGCGGGCGTTGGGAGCAGTAGAGCTACGCCCATGATACCTTACATCTCAAATAATCTGTTATAAAATGCCATCTGAAATCCTACAATCCAATTTAAAATAACAAAAAACTATCTACATTATTTTAACAAGACAGTAAACAAAAGCTCCCTCCTACTAAAAACAGAATAAACCTATTAAAATACAAAACAAAACAAAAAGTTTACATAATAAGCAGTCTGACCTTTCAAACGATTAAGCACATTACTAAATCATCCTTGTGCAAGGAGCTCAATTCCAAACAATAGTATGACTCATGGGAGGACTCGGTGTTTGCAAACCCCATGGAGGTACAGGCACGCAAGTAGGGTTGGAAGGGCTCAATTGCTTCACTCCATTGCTTAAGTCTTTCCATTAAAGAAATACCAAAATGCCTTCCCTTAGAGAGACCAAAAGACCTTTGTAACACAGAGTGCAACAAAGTGCAAATGAAGAATACATACATGCCCCATGCAGCGCCACAGACCTGGGGCAGGTGGCTGCAGAGCTGCGCGGCAGAAAAGGCTCTGGGGGAGCTGGTCGGCAGCGGCTGAGCCCGAGCCAGCAGGTGCCCAGGTGGCCGGGAAGGCCGAGGGCCTCCTGGCCTGTGTCAGGAACAGTGTGGCCAGCAGGAGCAGGGCAGCGACCGTCCCCCTGCGCTCGGCGCTGGTGAGGCTGCCCCTCGAGCGCTGTGCTCAGTTTTGGGCCCCTGGCTACAAGGAGGACATGGAGGTGCTGGAGCGCGTCCAGAGAAGGGCAGCGAAGCTGGGGAAGGGGCTGGAGCAGAGACCTTCCGAGGAGCGGCCAAGGGAGCCGGGGTTATTTAGTCTGGAGGAGGCTCTGGGGAGACCCTGTCACTCTGTACAGCTACCTGAAAGGAGGTTGTAGTGAGGTTGAGGTCGGTCTCTTCTCCACAAGAACTACGGATAAGACAAGAGGAAATGGCCTCAATTTGCACCAAAGGAGGTTCAGGTTAGACATTAGGAAGAATTTCTACACAGGAGGAGTCCTGAAGCACTGGAACAGGCTGCCCAGGGAAGTGGGGGAGTCACCGCCCCTGACGGCGCTCAAGAACCCTGTGAATGAGGCACCTGGGGACATGGTGTAGCAGGCATGGGAGTGATGGGCTTTCAGTTGGATTTGGTCATCTTGAAGGCCTTTTCCAACCTTACTGATAATGATAACACATAAGAAGAAAATATTGCTTCAATATTTGTTCCTATCCTCACTCAGTCCCTACCTACCTACTTAAATAGATTTTGTTTTATGTTAGACTATAAATATTACTATCAGTTCTCCTTGATCTTTGCATCAACTCATAAATTTGCATATCTCTCCAAAACAAATTATTATTCTCCCCATTTTAGGAGGCAAGTCCTTTCAGCTTGGTCATGGCTCGAGAATCGGCACTGTATATTTGCTGCAGAAACACACATGCCAGAACATGAAAATTACTGATTCCTCCCCATTTTCAGTTTGCTGAGTTTGACTGTGTGGGAGCCGCAGCTGGGGCCTGTTAAGGGACAGCTGAGACCTCATGGGTTACAGCAGAAATGCCAACATGGGAGATATGATAACGAGTGTCTGCTGTAAAGCTCGTGATCAGGATGATGTTCACAGGCCCTGGTCCTTATGTGAGGACTTTAAACTTTTGTATCTGCTGGATGGAAAACACAGGAAGGCACAAGCAATCCAGGAAGTTTCTAGAGTGAATTGATGGTCATTTCTTGACACAGGTAATCAATTTGTGACTAAATCGTGTTCAGACATTGATGTCTGCTACAATCAAGATCTCATGTCCCCTGAAGATAGGCAGCCTTTCACCTCAGCACAGCTCCTAGCTATAAAGGCAACACACAGTTTCTAGCTCTGCACACTTCTCTAAAAGGCCATAGAAACTTGGAACAGAAACATTGATGTTGGTATAAATGAAGTACAAACAGAAACATGTGTGTGAAAGCACTGAAAAGAACAGCAGAACAAGAATGAAATATGAATATTTCATTGAAAATGAAAAACACTATTCCCAGGATATGTTCTTCATAGTAAAGTTGTTTATATTTTAGTAAAGCCAAGAAACCTCAAAATTTAGCAAATAGCTCATCATTTTAAAAGCAAATTGGAATACTAACTTCAAAAAAATGACCATTTAGCTGTCCAAACAGTAAATTAGAAAAAGACATCAACTTTTCTATATACAAATATCACTCAAAAGATACAGTATCATATTATATTGTAACTGCACATCCCCAAATGAAATCTTTCTCCTCTTTCTTTCCCCCTATTTTTTTAAAATCATCTTCATCATTAAAAAATCCATGGCATATTGAGTCTACTTTGCATTTGGATTGGATACTAACAGAAAATATTTTAATTCTCAACTTTCTACCTTGTCTTCTGTTTTTCTTCCTCTCAGTTTTGAAAACCACTGAAACACAAGCAATCGTGTATGTGCTACATAAACAACATGCTCCTGTACACAAGTACATTAGACAACATTTCATTAATAAAATTTCTTTCATTTTCTCCAAAACACAGATAGTCTAAGGGGAGAAGAGTTTTCAAAATACACCAGCAGCTATTCATTTCCATAAGATATAGTTACTAATTATTACCTATTTTATAATAAAAGTTTGAAGCAACTATCTCTCATGCTATGCTACCCACTGATACAATGGTATTTTATAGCTATAGATACTTTATGCATTAAGCCCAGTAATCCCACTCTTTTCTTCCAACATTTTTGCCCAACAGGCAGCACAGTAACAACTGGAAAGCTTACCTTTTTCTGGTACCAGACTATAGCATCAGTTACTTTGGACGCCATTTATTCCACTGAATTCACACAGTCATTTTAGGCTGTTAACAGAAAAAGACAAAACTTTATTTCCACCTTCCATACGAAGGCCTACCTGGAAATTGCTGAACAGCTACACTTCTGTTAAGCCTCGTCTCATTAATATTTCAGCAATATTTTGGTGTTTTTTCTCCTACGTAAACAAAAATCACAGCTGACTGGTAGATTTTCCTCCACCCTCCCTAACAAAACCTAAGCAGCAGAGGAACTAAGCTTCACTGTTTCCTAACTAGAGCCTCCTGAGAGCTGCATTACATGCAGCCCTTCCCTTCTTTTTTTTTGCATTTCTGGGCAATGAATCAGCCCCTAGTTATTGCCACAGAATCGTATTCCAAAGACAAGGAATAAATCTGTTATAACGAAAAAAAAAATCATGCAGATTATTACATGTTTCTGGGGAAAAAATAGTTCTAGAACTCTGTTAATTACAAAATTAATATTTGGACTAAAAGGGTAAATGAAAACAAGATTTATTTACAAGAAGATAAGCAACGCATAATGATATGTTTGGGTTTTTTTTGAAACAGTAGAAGTAGTAATAGCTTTTCACATTAAAACTAACAATGATAATATCCAAGTGTACCTTATCACCTACGTAAAACTTTTCTCCCTTGAAAAACATCTTTCAAAATTTTTGTTCTACATCACCAGTCACACAGAGTTTGGCTAAGTATAAAAAAAAAAGGCCACAGAGAGACAATTCTAGATTTGGATTGTTTTTAAGCACTCTTTCAGTAAGTTTTTACCTTTTCATGGAAAGAAAAAACAATTGTATTGAATATATTATCTTATACTGAATAGTGTATAAAATGAAAGGAAACATTAGGCAAGACTTACAGAATCCTTTCCGGACACTTTATAATATGCAATTTTTTTTCCAAACATGAATGCTTTACCATTGAGACCTAATCCTAACATTTACAGGGTTATTTAAAATTATATCACTGCCGATATCAGGAAATTAAGAGCACTACATTCTTGAATTATTTTAGTACCTAAACTAGGCCAGGGCATTTGCTAAGCTTAGTGTTTAGCATTTAAGAATGCAAAGACAAGGCTAAGAGATGTGTTTACAGGATTGGCACACACAAGAAAAGAAATTTGAGAGTCCTTCATCACAGAAGACAAGTATGTAATGCCCAACACATGGAAAATGAAACTGCACAATAGATTAAAAACAAAGTAAGCCTCTTCTTGAAATGTCTGAAGATTAAAAGAAACTTTAGTATACATTCTCCAACACCGAAAACTTTTGAAAATTTTCCCTCCAAAAAAAAGGTTTTCTTCAAAGAAAATTCAAGCGTGAGCATCTATGCCTCCCTGCCTCTTCCCAAGAACCCAGCAACATTCTGAGCTTCCAAGGCATTTCTGGAATACAGCGAAGAGCCTCTCTCAAAGACTCAGCCCTGCACTGATGCCCATTTATTCAGTATTCCTCAACTTCTGTTTAGAGGTACTCTCCTTTTGCACAGGGAATTATTTTAAATACATCATATTTTATAAGTTGAAAGATATATTATTTACATGATATTACAAACAATTAGGAAACTGATTTTAATACAAGTTTCTGAGGATAACTAAGAATCAAAAGGCAACACCTTCGGCGGTCACTAACCAGCTCTAGCAACACTGACTTGTGGTACAAGTGAGCCACCGGCTTGGAATCCCTTTTTACCCATTTGTTCCTTTTAGCAGTAGCAGTTTAACTGAAACCAACTACCAGTGATTCAGAATTCGTTAGTACAATAATTACTTACAAAAAAATATATATTTCTACCAGGTAAAACATACAGCCCAACAGAGACTTTTATATAACTCAGCATACTACAGAGATCACTTACACTTCTTCATTTTAAATAAGCCTTAAAATAAGATTTGCTTCTTGTTTGTAAAGATGTTTTAAGCAAAAATAAAATAAAATGACATAATTTAAAAGGTTTGCTATACTGAACTACAGCCTGAAAGCAAGTTAAAGTCCTCAGACATACATATTCTGCAATGGTACAGGTAAAATTAAAGCCCATCCACTGCTTGTGGACAACTGAGGTAGGAAGAATTCCCCATGGATATTAGTGACCCTCAGCCCTGCCTTCCCCTCCCTGTGGCTTCACCATCCTGGAATATCTTTGATTCCATCTCATTTCTCCTACCCCAGCTTCCCCTCCCATGTGCACCCTTGCTTCCAACCACATCCCATAATTATAGGAGAAAAAAGTGGCAAGAATTCATTGGCAGAGGCAATTTAATGAACTGTTGAACTCACACAGAAACCTTTCCGTCACCAGATGCATTAACTTCATCTTTTACTCTACACAGTCAATGATCTGCAGGAAACCAAGAGTGATTTACGAAACTGAGCCTTGCAGTTTGTTCAAACACAGCTGAAATTGGGACAAGTCATTTTAAAGGCAGGGATTTTTTTTGCAGTAGCTCTCGAAGCCAATTGAAAATCCTTCGACTGGAGAAAAGATATATCATAAAATTATAATGAAGAGACTTGTTATTCATTTCTTTGATTTCTATCACCAAGCCTGTTATTTAGATTATCCATGGTGTTGTAGAGCAAGTCTAGGTGTCGTTTAAGTCATTATGAATCCCACAAGAGACCCGCACAGCAAAGATGCTTTTAAAAGCAAGTGTCACAAAACTTGCAGCAATGGCATTGCTGTCTCCAGAGTTTAAGACTTTGGTGTGCTGAGTGGAGTGCTTCTGAGGATACTCCGCCCAACTTCTTTAAGAGATACATGACAATTTTTGAGACAGTACTGAACTGAAAGGCAGGGAGATCTACTTTTATTATTTCTGGAGTGTTCTGCTTGCAGGGATTGGAGTTTGGTTGTGTTTCCTTGGTTTTTAGGGACAGCTTAATGAGTTTGTCACATTCGGCCTCAAGCTAAGAAAGCCGGATAACAAATGGCTGATGGAAACCCGGGATACGCGGCGCGCGGCAGGGGCTCCGCATCCACGTGGCCCCCGCAGCGCACGGGCGGGAGACTCCCTATTGCAGCATCTCAGAGCTCTTCACATTCACCACACATCAATATTTGACTCAGTAGGAAATTTGTATCGATATCGACCCTGAGCTCAAGCCTGCACATCAGTACCTTAAAAATTGATAAAATGAGCAAGTCGAAGCAGACAATAAACATCCACAGGCACAACAGAGTGCCACTCTCTGCAGCCAGCCCGTCTGGGTCGTATCATATCTCAAACACCCGCAGCTGAGGCAAGAACCTGCTCCCGCACTCACTTGTGCCATCTTCATCCTCAGTTATACAGTCTTCTTTTCATAGTAACTACAGCAAGGTAAGCAAATAGCTGGAGACTTAGAGGCGACGTTGAAGATGATGCTCCCAGCTTTCAGAGCCAGAACACCCAAACGCATCAGCTCGGTGAGACCATGGCTGCGGCGTCTAACAGAGCGGTCCCTACGATCCCGCCACACAGCATCAACAACCACCAACAGCTTTTCATCAAAAACTTTCCTAGTACTTCCCTAGAGCTAGAAGCAGGTGACCGCCTGGTTGTGGCAATCCCTGTTCAGAAGAGATGTTTTTCCTGTGGTGATCCCTATTCAGAAGGTGGTTTTTCCATATATCATAGCACAGTCACAGTCTCTCTTAAATAGGCACAAAGCTACCAAAATCTCTACTTAAGAGTCTTCAGGTATTTAGACACTCAGTGCAGCATGAGACAGCACTTTTTGTTTAATAAACAACTAGATACCACAATGCATTAAAATAAATTTACAGTAATTATGCTGTACAAGTTTATTTACATGCAGAATGTTTTGGAGGCCCAAGTGAATCTCCAGGCATTTCAAGGAATCTGTTTCCTTTACAGCAGTGCTAAGCTGGATGGCCAGGATATCACCAGGCTGTTGAATAAGGCTTGAGGGTCCTTCTTGGCTTATTATGCTCATGCAGTGATGAAGTTGCCATATTTACTAAATTTATTTTTAATTGCTTGCTGTCACTAACAGTGAAATAGCATTTTTGGAATGCTATTTTTACTCTTTCAGCAAAAAAAACCTCAAAGCAACAGCTAAATTTCAACAGCTGTTGAAATGTTACTGCTTAAAGCTATGAAAAACTTAAAACCCTGTATCCACAATAGACCTATTTTACTGGTAGGTCAGATCCTCCATACTGCAATTTCACAATCACAGTTACAATTTCACTATGATTTCCCTGTAGAAGAGTTATAGAAGAAAAGAAAAAATGAATCAGGACGGTAATGTCTCTTGCCTAAACTATTTCTTTCATAGCAATATTTGTATCGTAAGAACTCACTTAAATGTAAAATAAGATTCCTGCCACTCTGAAGCTACAAAATATCTTCAGCAAGAAAAAAAAAAATCTCACTCTTCCTTTACCTTCCATGTTCAGCATCAAAATGAAACTTAACATTATCATTATTTGATCTTTTAACTTCACTTTAAATAAATACAACAAACCGTTTAGTCACATTACGCACTATTAACTGAAAATCTTCCTGAGTCATGGAAAAACAAACCCATAAAAATATAAAAATGCAATGAAAATATATCATTGTAAAATTTACCAAGAGACATAATTCCTCCACTTGGGTCCAGAGCAGTTTTGCCACCATCATCACTGAGGAGAGCATTAAGCTTTTAAAGTAGTCTCAAATAACATATTCTTTTCCTGTGCATTATAATAAACCACTCAATCTGGGCTTTCCTTTTATGAAGGAACCTCACACACCATATAATGCACTCAGCGCCTGCTCAACTAGCTGATCTATGCAGCACTGCTCCAAAAACAGCATTTCAGAATTGCAAATTGCATACAAGCAAATGAGAAACTTGTCACTCCTGGTTCGCACCTTTCAGTGGGAATTTTAGCAGTTTTCCTGAACCAGCCGATGAAAAACCCTATCAGATACTACAACCTAAAGACCGTATCCAGCAGCCAGAATTAAAAGTGCTCTTGCTGCCAGGCCAACCAGCCAAGGCCCCCCACAAGCTGCCGCCTTCGA